TCTGGCCTGTACCCCAGTTCTGTATGAATAAATAAATAAATCTTTAAAAAAAAAATATTAGAAATTCAATAAGAAAAAGCACCTTAATAAAGTGGTAATGAATGGTGGAAATACCATAATAAGAATTTTGCCTATCACAGTATAAACATTTCATCTATATATTATATATATATTTTAATGATGAAAAGTATAAGGATTAAGGGAAGTATTAATAAAAGAATAAAGAAAGATAAGTGAATTTGCAAATAGACTTAATGGGTAGAACCAGAAAAAGAAAGTTATTGGATAGTTTAGTTCAACTTTTGAAATAAGAAATGTTATGTCAAGTCACAAAAAGTAAATTATTGTGAAATACTCTAGAATGAACTTTTTATGAAAAGGTTCTTTACATTTATATATAATCTTGTTTATATTTTTAATTTTTTATAAATCTACTTTATTGATATGAAAATTAAGTCAGACTTGTATTATGAATTGATATGCCCTGATGACTTTCAAATTTCAAACTTTACATCACACAAAACTGGAATTCCTGGATTTTCTCTCTAGCACAGAATCAATTACCAACCCAAAAACTTCCCCTGACAGTGAAATCCTAATTGTACAGGATCTCTAGCAATCAATTGTTCCCAGAATTCAACTCTGGTCTTTAGCTAAGTTGCTTATTCACATTCTCTACAAATCAATGAATTAACAACAGAGGTTCCAGTTTCCAAGATTACCAAAACAAAACAAAAAACCTCTTTCTAATGAATTCTTTCCAAAAATAAGGTCTCCTTTACCCATCCCAACAAATACAACTTGTTCTATATATTAAAATCAAATTAGAGGTTCTGAAAACTTGTAAGTACCTTCTTAATTGATGTTTCTTGGGTTTTAATAATTTGCAAGCCACTGGGGAGCAATTAATTTCTGCTAATGTTTCACAGAATGCTCCATTCAGATATCATGATCATTCCTGAGACTACATGTTGCACATGAGATGGGGAACTGATACTCTAAAAGGCATCCTTTAGCAGTGCTTGTTCCAGTCTTGCCCCATCTCTAGGTCTGGTAGGTACTATCTTGGTAATAAAAAAAAAATCATATAAAAATGTTTTCAGCTAAGTTGTACATTTTACTGAACAAAGAGCCTTGTCTTAAAAATTTACCATCTAAGTAGATTAAACTGTTCTTCAAAGTCCCTATGAAGTCAGGGGAAATGGTTCTAAACTCATTTAATTTAGATCCAAGAAGGACTTCAAGAGACAAAAGTCAATGTCATTTTGGGGCAGCCTTCTTGGGCAAGTTATTCATTATGAGGCTGTGGAACAAATGCACTCAAATTATCCTCATATGGCTTGTTTGGGACTCCAGTAACTACTTAATTAAAACAACCATTTTCAGTTAAAAAAACTGAGTTTTTCTGGATATGTGAAAAGGCTAGGTTCACTTGCTAATAGGGCACTGTAATAAATGTAAGGTAAGAGTACATTGTAGTAAAATAGTGATAGTTAATATATCCTGCTACCACTATACTGTTTATCAGAAAAGATGCTCTTGAGTCGTAATAAAGATCTAATTTCCCTCTAGTTTCCATTTATATCATCTATTTGTAAGATGACCTTTTTGGACAAACTAGTAAGATGTGTTCTTACTGTGTTTACTATCCAGTATTCAGGCACTAGGCCATGCAACTAGATAAAATTTATTGACTTGTTTTGTCAGGTCAAGGGTGTTTTGTAATCAGAGACTTGAACAACTTGGTAGATTCCTGTAGCTCCCAGGATGGGGTTTTCTCAGGAAAGCAATAAGGTAAATGCTCAGGCAATTGAAATTATCAATGCATGGGGAAGAATAGTATCAGATCTAAACTTGATCTGTAGCTTGAATTAATGGAACCACATTCTGTTTTCCTTTCCTAATGCTTAATTATTCTGAGCTCAGAAGAATCATCATTTTAAAACTTCAGAAACATTTCATGGAAAAGCAAGTCAATTTCAGACAGGCTTTATACACTGCTAGTGAGCTTGAGACATATTTTAATTTTCTGTACCTACTTTTGGATGATAACATGTGTGAATTACCAATTATGTGCCCTTTGAGTATGGTTCAGTTTTGAAGACTGATCTAATCTGAGAATCAAATATCCCTGGAGTCAAATATCTGAATCCTAAAATTATCATAAATTATTTTACAAATGGGCAATATTTTAATTCATCTGGCTCAATAAAAATGTATTCATGTAATGAAATAAAATTGAGGAGAAATTTTAGGAATGTTAATCTATAACTCAGATGTGCCATTATTCTTCAAATGTCAGTGTAAGTACCAATAATTTTATGAATGATTAAAATTGATCACTGCCTAGCTCCATGCTGAAAACATAACTCTTCTGTAAAAATAAGTCTAAGAAATCTTTTTTAAAAGACTACTTATATTTTACTCTATAGGAAGCCTAATAGGTTATATTTCATTATTTTCAAAATTAATCCATACATCTTTGAGATTATGGATTTATGATCATGTGCTCTAATATTGAAAATAAATGCAGACACTCCTACTGTATAGTGAATTCTTCATTCACTGGTGGGGCACATAAAGTACACAGAGACAAGTAAGGTAAGTAGTTATATTATTTTCCTAGACCTATTAAGATTTTGATATATTATGAAACAACAAAGATCTAAGAGGGGAATCCTAAAATATAGCAGAAGAAAGGTTAAACCAATATACTTTGCTTCCGAGATTAAATTTTAGCCCAAACTCTAAAGATACAGTGTTTTAGGAAAGGTAAAGATTTAAATGTCTGATAAGTAAGACGGTATACTTATAGGATTCATTAACCTAAGAAAAACTATAGGTTCTAAATATGAACATGCTCTACAGAGATTTAAATAATTCATAAACTCATAAAAGTTTTGGAGGCAAGAAAGGCAATTCAGAGACATTTCCTGCCACTGATGCCAGCATTTTCCACAAAGAAAACCATCCTTCTTTCAGAATTCACTCCTGCAGAACAAGTGTTTCTGATACTACATACTGGTATTTGTCAAGACCTAAACTGGGTATTGGGAACAGTGCAACAGGAAACAAGAAAAACAAATTCAGGTGCATTCCATAAGTTATTCTTTTATTCTATTCCAAAAAATGCTTTCATAACAAACTAGAATTACCATATACAGAATATACATTTACTCTCTTCATCTACTTTCTTTTCCCTGCTAAGAAATCTTACTTGCATTACTCAGAGCAGCCGCCTTGGGGAAAATCCATAAAGCATAAAGGATTCAGACAGGAAGTTCTGTCTTTCAACTGCCTAGAGTTTAATAACAGTGATAAGACATAAAGCTTGTTACTAAACAGCACTTTATTCTTACCATGTTTAAAATACAGCTTCAAAGATGAACACATATAAAATCTCTACTTCATTCGAAGTAGCACAGCTAGCATCCTACTCCTGGAATGGAGAGCTAATCAGCCGTACATATTTGTCCAGTACTCTTTGAAAACTGTATTAAACTCTAAACCATGTTCAATTTATAGTTAAGTTTGGCATATAATGAATCTCAGAGGTAAAATACCTAACTTCCAGACAGATGTCAAATAAGTAGACTTTCAGAAAGAAGAAGGGAAGAGGGAAGGGCACTAGCTCATTTTTGTGACAATTTATGCCATCTCAGCCTAGTTTGCTAACCTACCCAGTGGAGACGATGCTCTATCTCTCTCATAAAACAGATGTAAAGCTGTTTTTAATACTATGTAAATTGTATGAGTCCAGAACCAGAAGTCCATTTTTTGAGTAAATAAATAAAATAGGCAAAGCTTCAAAAGGAAGACCGTTCGTAATATTTTTGAAGTTGAAAACCACTTTGAGGTATTTTGCCTATTTTTCTGGAGTATAAATTTCTAGAAATAAAGCCAACAAAAATGTAGAACACCAACTGTTCTAATAAAGCGTTATGATCTCTCTCTCCCCCCTCCCTCTTGCCCTCCCTTCCCTCCCTTCCCCTTCCCCTCAACCCTGCAAGTAACTGAGGATCTTTGCCTTCTTAGCATTTAAATCTTTCTTTTGGCCCTCCCTTGTGGTGCAGAGGGTTAAAGCACAGCACTAAGAAGCTAAAGCCACTTCCACATGAGTTCCATCCCCCCCCCACGTCCGTCTCCACCTGTCCCGGAGGTGACCACATGGTGTGGCTGACCTCTCCTGACAGGCCCACTGCTCCCCACTCTGTCTCTAGTGAATCTTCTCACCCTCCGCATCTCTGGCTTGTACCCCAGTTCTGTATGAATGAATAAATAAATCTTAAAAAAAAATCTTTCTTTTAACATAACATTTACAACATTGAAATTTTACAACATTATCTCTGCACTTTCTCCTTCAGTGTAGAAAGACCTGTTCTATAATTATGACAAGACATTATATATTACAATATTATTTTATTACACCTTCTTACATCTCATAAAAGAACAAATTTATTCTGATCCAGGATACTGTTTAAATGCAACCCAAATGGCTCAAAACTGTATGTAGTCAGATAAGTAAGAATCTAACTCTTCTAGGATTAGAGTCTAGTTTTTAGAGCAACTATATCAAACTTCTTGTAATTTCAATGGAGCTACAAGATGAAACATGAATATTGGAGGCGGCATTGATCTGGACACAATGGATCCAGGCAGTCTGTTAGATATTTCATATCAAGACGTCTTTTGATGTCCTGACACAGAGCTAGCAGTGCTCACCTGCCTTAGCATCTGCCATAACAACTAATGAACTCTGAAAAGATGTGCCATTTTAATGGCATCACTGTTAAGATATACCTACAGAATTAAGGTAAGCATTCTATACCAAATACATTTCTATGACCAATACTTCTTACCATTCTTAATCCACTACTACTGTTTTTAAGATATAAAGATCATTCTTATAATAGCATATCAATTTGGAAATAAAAACAGCATATATGTAGATTCTGCCCATAAAAAATATACCTCACCTTAAAAAACAAAATAGAAATCTGAAGGATTTTTATAGAAATAGTTTTCAATAATAACTGTTCTAAGGAATAAGTTTTTGAAGTTTACCTAATTAGCTTGATGGCTTCTAGCTCCTCAGCAGTTGGTGAGGAAGACATTTTCAGGAAAATCATGTTAAATATAGCTATATCTCCAAGTGCTGCCACTTTCTTCATATCACACATGGTGATGGTGACTTTTGCTGTAGTTGAAAAGACTTTCTGTATAATATCAGCCAGGTACTCAACAGTGACATCTCCAACCAATAAGAGATCTATTTTTGCCTGAAAGAAAAAGACAGGAACATCACATTATTAATATCTGTGCACAAAGAAAATATCATATAAGAGAGGATAACATAAAGGTTATAAATAACACTATGCTGATTATACAGCTAGACTGAATGGTAACCTCTAAGCACCTCAAAGGCTGGAACTATTAATTTCATGTCTTCATTACCTAGGGTGGTAAATGGACATGAAGATTGTGTTATTTTTAAAAGTCTTGCCTACAAATATTATTCTGCTATGGTTTTCCTACAAGTTTCTTTCTTGTTAATAACCATAGATAGGATTCTTATGACCCAGTTTCCTAATCACCTATCTGGCTAGAAAATCTGTTAACTATGAAGAGACTCAAATTTATGACTCCCCACACAATTTATTTTGATGAAAATGCTCTAGAAAACAGAGATGATTTAAATCCTTAAATGTTAAGAAACAACGTCCTTTCTTCAAATGAAATATACATGCTATTTAAACCCCAATATTAAAAGCCAAAAAGTCTACTTTCATTCAGCACATTCAATTAGAAAAATATAATTTCCATTTTCATCTTGTTTTATACTCTATCACTATTGAAAATGTCTGAGTGGGGGTGCTTGAATTAGCAGAAATGGTCAGCAGACAGTTGTAAATACCAGGTCATATACAGGTCAACATTAGAAGACAGTTTTGGGAGCTGAAGCCAAAAAAAGAGGGTAAAAGAGTTAGAAATATGAAGAGAAAGTTAGAAATATGAATATGCAAAGACACAGCTCTGCAGAAGATGATGGTATAGGTGGCCCACAGGGGGCTTCCCTTACCCCATCCTTCAATATGGTTTTTCAAGGGCTAGAAAGAATTATGAGATGCAAATAAATGAGTCAAATTAAAAGTAAAGTTTCTGTGCTTCTCACTTATCTTCCTTCTCATTTTCTTTTGTTGAAACAGACGAGTTTTCTTTTACCTATTTTTTACATCCTAATTCAATCCTTTCCCTAGATATAGCTGCATCAATAGCTTGGTCTATATCAAAATATATGTAAGATACATGTAAAAAATTATTGAAAAAATAATAAGATACATAAAACAAAAAATAAGATACATATAAGTGCTTTTCCATAAATGAGATAGGTTTTTTAAAGTCACTTTTTCTCACTTCATACAATTCAACAATTCCTCAAAAATTCTACCCACTGAGAACATTTTCTTTGTCACTTTCTGGGTTGTTACAGGTTTTGTTTGTTTTTTGCATTTTCTAATTAACAGTAAAGTTGAATATTAGCGGCATGTCCCATTTTATTTATTTCATATTGTTTATCATGTTATATTTGTTATATTTATCTACCTTCCACTTTGCTGTTCAACTCTAATTATTCGATAGGAAATTATATATTCAAGATATAATTTAGCAATTATTTTCTAATCTGTTATGGCTTTTAACTTTAATGGTAAGGTCTTTTGTCACAAACACATATTAAATATTCAATAACAAACCTCCAACACCCTCCTTTATGGGTTGTCTTGCTTTCAAAGCCATCCCAATAACATTATTAAAACATGCATTAATAGTGTATTCTAATACTTTTAAAGTGTTTTTTCCTGCATTATTCTTTTTATCCCATCTATAATTTATGTGATGACTACCTGAAGTTGGCATTCAATTTCATCTTTTCAAAAGCATAGCCAGTTACTCCAATAGCCTTATGATAGGCTAAATTTCTCTCAGCGTTTTCAAGTATCTATATCTATAAAGTTCTCCCAACCTCCAGGCTTCATCTGATTTATTGGTCTGTTCATCTATTTCTGGTTAATACCAACTGTTTAATAACTAGCTCTTTACATTATATTTTAAGTTGAAAGAACATAGTTCTCTCCTTGCTGTTTTTCAGTTATTTCCCCACACTCTCTCTTAGAACAGAATTTCAGCAGAAGTTTATCAAGTTCCATAAGAAACACCGTTAAAATTTGTATCATGTTTGCATGTGCTCTAAAGATGAAGAAATATCATTATGGTGTTCAAAATCTCCTTTTTAGGAAGTATGACTCAGAAAATTCAGGTCTTTTTTATGTCCTTCAGTCTCAGTTATCTATTTTGCATGTGTCTTCATACTAATACTTCAAGATTCTGGAGTCATTATGAAGGGGCTTTGGGGCTTCCTTTTCTCACAACATTTTCTGATCAATTATAATTGACATAAAGAAAATTTAGTGATTTCTGTACAAGCCACTTGATTAAGTACTTTGTAGTACTGTTTAGTTTCTGTATGCTTGTTCTTTAGAATTTCTTAGGTAATCACACTGTTATCAAAATGACATTTTTGTCTGTTTCCAGAAATTATACCTTTCATATACTAATCTTGAAACATTGCTCTGGTAAACAGCAGAAATAACAGAACATTCTTGCCTTGGCCTTGACTTTAGTGGGAATATTTCAAATATTTTTATGACTAATTATGATACAGAAAATCTCTGGTCAATGCCTATTATCAAGCTAAAAAAAGTTTCTAATTGGACGCTAAGGTTTTAAAATCAGAAATGAGTATTGAAATTCACCAAATACTTTTTCCAGTATCAACTTGATTTATTGTCTTCTCTAATCTGTTAAGTAGTGAGTTACAATAATAAATTTCCTAATGTCAAGCCATCATTGCATTTTTGGAATAAAACTATACATAATGTGTAATGAGCTCAACTAATTCATTATATCTATAAATGACGCTGGATACATTTTATTTTATTGTATCATCTTATCTGATTTGGGTATCACTGTTAATTAAGCTAGTCTCAAAAAATGAAATAGAATTATTTGATAGTATTTTATAATCTTGAATATCTTATAAAATATAGAAATGACATGCTGCGGGAACATAAGGATTCGGAAAAATAAAAAAGCAATTGAAATAAATAAAAATGAAAAACAACGAACAGCTATCAAGTAAAGACATTCCACAGGGTGGACAGGGGAACAGGATCAAAACCTGGGCGGGGAGAAGCACGGGCCTAAGGTGATAGCACATGGGAAGTCCACAGGGATTACAATCTAGATGAAAAATGTACAAAATGAAGACTGGTGTAAAATAAATAAACATATTTAAAAAGAGAAATGACTTGCTTCTTGAAATTTAAGGAAAACATGTCTTTCAAATCTGGGCCTGAAGCCATATAGAGAAATGGGTTTTAGCCTACTAAGTCCTTACTCATTAGTAAGCTTTATTTTCTCTTACATGAATTTTGTTCAGATTATCTTTCTTAAAATTAATTTCATCTATCTTTCCAAGTGAAGTAATTTTTAAATGTACATTTTCATTACTTGGCATTGAGTTCATCTTGCTTTCTTTCTAAATAGAAATTAAAGTATAAATCTTTTTTGATAATGCTTTATTATAGACTATAGAACTGTATTATTCAATGAGGCAGCACATATGGCTATTTACATTTATATCAACTAAAATTAAATAAAGCTTGAAATTTAGTTCAATTAACATTAGTCACATTTCAAGTGCTTAATACCCACATATAGTGACTTCAACATCAGCATACTTAGAAAATATTTTCATCATTGCAGAAAGTTCTATTGGCCAGTACAGTGCTGCAATTAGCACACTGTTGTACCCAAAGAGATTATGATATACATTGCATTTGTTTTCATCCACTACTCAATAGATTTTAATTTCAGTTTATTTTTGACCTTTAATTTAAGAGTAATGTTAAACACCTATGTAAAGATGTCTGCTTTGAGTATTTTTATTTTTCTTGGTTATTAAGTAGTTTTCTTTTTGTTTTATTTCAGTGCATTGTCAATACAGAATGCTTCCTCTAAAACTTCTACTTTTTTAGAACTTGTTGATATTTTTATCTTTGCCTTAACACATTTTGTTAATGTTCCATGGATACTTGAAAACAATAAATATTTTCTCTCTGTAATGTTCCATGGATACTTGAAAACAATAAACATATATTCTCTCTGTATCTTTTAGACAGAACTTAATAGTTTTCTTATTTTAGGTCTCCTTGATCTTTCACTTTATGAGATAGGTAGATTTGTTAAAGCCTTGCCTATATAATTACGGTTTGCCATTTTATCAACTTCTTTAACTATAGAATATTTCTAATTATGAAGTCAAAAGGAGAAAGAAAAATACTGGATGGTTTCACTTATAGGAGGAATATAGGGTAACTGAACTCAGGGAAAAAAAGACAACCAGCAGGCAAACTATAAATCTGAAATATACAGCAGGAAAAGACAAGAGGGCTGAAAATTGTAGAGAAGAACACAGGAGATTGATTATGGGGAGGGTTCACAGGTGATTTGATGGTGGGAATTTTATAGTGGTTACACCTGAGGGGAGAAATCAAATAAAATACAAAAATGAACAGAGGTGTGAAAAATAAATTTTAGAAAAGGAATATTTCTAATTATTGACTAGATAAAGATTCATGGTAATTATACATGTCCATATAAGTATTAAATATATAGCTATATTTAACATACACTCAATAATGACCTACAACGGTCATATAGTATGTAGAAAAATAAATAATTGTCATATTTGATAATTAAATATAAAGAAAATTATAGATGCAATATGCTTTTTATAGTGCTTCTTACGTGAAATTTTCTTTCTGATATATAGTACTTAATTTTCTATATGCTTTTATACTGAGCCTATTTATGTTATTGTGGCTTTGTGAAACTTTTCTAAATAGCATATATTTGAATTTTTAGACTTTATGATCTGACATTTTATTTTTAATATTGGAATTTAATTTACATTAATGACACTACCTAATGTCATTAATATAATGAAATTAATATTTACTATGACACATACAACTTAATATAAATGTCTTATTCATTTACTTCAGGTTTCCCATTTACTATCATGTCTTTCCCATATGAATGGTTCAGTAGAGGGTAAAGAAAAACAAACATAGAAACTAGAAAAACACTGTTTTTTTCTATGCCCTCGGACAGGCTGATCAAATGTCCCTTCTTCTGTTGTTCCTTCAGTACTTTGGGA